CCAATTTTCACGATTTATTTTTGACACCCATAAGGCCTTCCGTTCTTCATTAACTGGAAAACATCGTAGCGAAAAGCCTTTTTCGCTATTGTTGTGACATCCAGGCACACAACAACCAGTCATATTTTCTTCGAAGAAGATATTAAAATTATATGATTGATGACAAGGTTAGAATGTCACTTTCGACTACATAATATCTGTTGTTTTATATATTTTTAATTCGAAACCTTTATAATAATGTATAGGCTTACCTACTTATAATTCTAATATAAAACGATTTCGCATCACTTCATTACAGTTAAAGCTGCCACCGTGACTCTACGCTCTTCGTAGTATAAGGGTCTAGCGTCTCTTTACTACTAGAGTCCCAATTAGACGCCATTTTATTTCAGATTGTCGCGACTCTCTTAAAGGGACTCTAGTCGCTATATGCTGACAGCACTGAAAATATCGTTCCAAAATGAAAGCTGAGTTTGCATGAAAAGCATGCTTATGAAATTGGAACACTATTGGTAGCATGCACTTATGACGACGTGCTCGCAGCGCTGACAAACAATTTTGGAACACAGCCCAAGCAGTAGCATTGGAAGCAATTGGAAATAAGGTGGAAGTGGAAACCTGCGATGTATTAATGACGTCATACGTGCTGTTGGGACACATTTGAAGCGTCATGTGGACCGGTTAAAACAACGCTCCAAACGATTCGAAGCATTTGTAGCGCCAAGTGGACCGCACCCTATATGTAACTTCGGCGTGGTTAAACAGTTGACACATGTCAAAACGGCGATCTATATTACAGTTGCATGCACAGTAATTTAAAAAACTGTATTTCCACATGAAATACAAATTTTTCTACCACTTTTTATAAAAATTTGGCAACTTATAAAAATATCGTAAAATTCAACAGTGGTCATAATAATGTGGCCAGGGACTGTAAGTAATATTAATAAAAATTCCTAAGCAACATAATAATACAGTTATTTTATACTTCCTTTCAAATGTTATTTACTTTTAGGTTTAAAAATCAAGTTTCTTGTATATGAATACATGCAAAATTAATGCACGTTTCTATTAATAATATAGATTAATCTTAATTGTGGTTTAACGTACTTTTTATCTTTTCTTAATTCAAAGAAAAAAGTTAGAGTACACTATGCCAAAAATTAAAGTAAGTCTATATTAGTAGAGAGAGAGATTAGTCTTGCATTTATATCTGTACAGAGTTTCCCAGTAAATAAGCTGACGTTACTCGTCATTTTGATATCATCTTAACGGCACTTTGACGTTTAAGATGTCAAGATCACAGTCATGGTATGGGACGTTTTGCAGTCATACAATCGTCGTTTTGCCATCATTTTGATTACTCTTTTTGACATCATATTCCTAATCAATTTGACGTCACATTGACATCACCTTGACTAAGTAGTTTTCACTGGGTTAATAGTTTTACATCAACTTTATATGCGAAAACGCAACTTACCTGAATAATATAATCGCAAATCTATTCTCGCCTGTAAGCACATAGAGACCAGAAAAAGGAAAGATCGTAACAAAATCATTTAGAATTATCGTCGTAATTTGCTGTTTGCGCATGTCTAATTAGTTAAATCGACTTACTACGAGAATCAAACTTAGCAAACATAAAACGTAATTATTTTCAATATTTATAATTTATATCTTGCATGTTGTAGCACTTAAACTATGATCCGTTTTTTTCACGTATATGAGGGTCGCTTGAAAAGTTTTGAACCTCAACATGAAGATGGTATTACTCGTCAAATTATTCTGGTACTACAATCGTACACGCTTTGAAAGATACCTGTGAACATTATAGCCATTGTAGACCCCCAGTTGTTGTTTGACAATCATTTGTGCCCGTAGATGTCAACGTTTTTGTAAAAATGGAAAAAATCAAATATCGACAATCGTCATAACAAAAATTTACGATTTGCGGTTCGAATTAATTAACTCACTGAGAAAAAAAATTTATTCAACGAAAAAAAGTTATTTGACTCAACAAACTGCTGCGGTAGAATACGTGCAAATAAATATCAATTATGTAATAACAGCAAAGTATTTTGCTCAATTACTATGACAATTTTAAATTTGGCTCAACCAAACCGAGTTATTGCAGACAAAATGTTTATTTGATTTGAGAATATATTTAATTGAATAGTAACTTATTTTGACGATCCATTAAATAACATTAAGTTATAAGAACGAAGGATTCTTAATTTAAAAACAATAACGAGAGAATAAAGGGCACATAAGAGTCAGATATAATAAAGTATATTAAAACATGAAAAATCAAAAATTAATATAATATTCTATAATCGATTAAAATATGACATGTCTCACGATTGAGCCTTCTTCAGAAATACATACAATAGATGTTACATTCGATGAAAGCAGTCGAAAAGATAAAAAAAATTATACATAAAGTAATGATAGCCAGTGAGATGCTTTGCTGAGAAACGGAAATCACTCGCAAACGGCTAGATGACCGAATGTTTGAATTATCCGTAGTTCCGGTAACAATCAAGTTAGAAATAAATTACGAGAATAATAAAAAAAATTGAGTAAAATTGTCACTCTGACCAAAGCAACTCACCTAGCTGGCCATAAAATAAAATTTCACATGCCGATAAGATGTTCGTCAATTTCTGAATTATTAAGTGTTAGTGTGTTAGTCCATAGTAAAATAGGTAGTCATAATATAAAATTAAAGATGTATAAAGATAATAAATAGTGTATAAAATATATTAAAAATAAGACACTTGGTAAACATATATGTTAACATCAAGGCAGACCAACACTGACTGACGAATAATAAAATAATCTTAGTAGTGCAAAGTCAGATTTTGTTTATTAACTGTATGTAAGCTTTGTATAAACTCTCTGTATCTCTTTGTAGGTTTAAACTGTTTTTTTGTTTTTTAATGTTCAACATTTCAGAGATTAAACGCTTATTATAACAAGGTTCTTCATCTAAAATTGTCACTTTATCCCAATTAAAGTTATGTCCAAGCTGCAACCTATGCTCAGTTATCATTGATCGAGTGGACGTGTTTCACCGGATGTGATTTTTGTGTTCGTTAATTCTTGTCTTCAGTTTCCTACCTGTCTTACATATGTTGCATCACAATCAACACAATCGATCTTATAGACAACATTATTTTTTGAAAAATGATGTAGAGGATCCTTATGTACTTTAATGTATTTTCTTAATTTGTTCGTACTATAGAAAGAAATATTGATGTCATCTCTATATTAAATTTTTTTAATTTATCCGTCAATGATGGAATAAAAAGAACTATGAACCAAGATGCGGACACTGATGATTCGTCCTTTTCTTCTATGTCATTATGCGATACTGTCCTTCTTCTTATAATGCTTTTGATTCTGTTATTTATTGTTTCAAAAATGAACTTTAGAGAGTAATCATTAAGTAATAATATTTCGATTATCTTTGTTAAATTTTTATTATGATCTTCTGAATTCGAGAGTAGAAAAGCTCTATCTACTAAACTAATGATTACTTCTCTTTTTTGTGAGAGGGGATGATTCGAAAAAAAATTTAGAAGTCTCCCCGAAAAGGTCGGTTTTTCATCAAAATTTAGTTGGTTACCAATAGTAGTGATTGTAACATCTAAAAAGTGAGTCATGACCTATTTCTAGCGTAAATTGAAGACGAGTATGAAAAGAATTAAAGCACTCCAAAAATTGATCTGTATTTGAAGAAGGAACAGCAGCATACAAATCGTCAACATACCGATAGTAAAATAATACATGATCATTAAATAACATCAAGGCAGTTCTCTCTAATTTTTGCAATACCAAGTCCGCAATGACTGGAGGATAGCGGAGAGCCCATGGATGTGGCGAAGTTTTGTTTATAAATGTTGTTATCAGGAAACTAAATTTTGATCAAGAGGCTAACTCGTACAGTGGACTACCATTTGACGATACAATGATTCTATATGAACAATCCGGTTTGTGTATCTTCGGCAGTGCATAGACTCTCGGTAACGAACCATCATTGCATGACAATTGTCTGTATTGAGAATTGTCAACATAATTACGTTCCTTCCTTTTGCAAGTAAAGATCTAAGAATTTTGATAAGCTTACTGGTAGGGTCTTTTTTAATTATTTCGTATGTTTCTTTATCTTCTAACATTTCATTCACTTTTTTGACATACGTATCTTTATCAAGACCGACTGTGACGTTACCTTTATTGGCATGTGTTAGAATGATATTGAGATGTGCGTCCATAAATTCTTTTGTTTCCATTTCTAATTTTAATATTTTCTTGTCAACAGATGATGTAACAATATGCGAGTTTACTATGTTGTTTAGAATTGGGATAGAGTGGTTCGTGACATCTATTTTTTTGTCTATCAGGAATCTGCAGATGCTACGTTGAATGCTTTTAATGCAATCAATTACAATGTTTTTCTTATTGGAAAGAATACTGGCGTTAGGAGTCAGGCGCAGGAGTCGCGCAAATAATACACTTATGAAGCTTGAAACTTCTTTATTCAACTGTTACGTCCAGCGGACTCACGCTGCCTCTTTTCTCTTTCTCACGGAGACCTAGGTGTTATCAACCCCCTAAGACTTCTAGGAAAAGTAATAAAAATCTTTTCCCATGAGAAAGTTTAAAATAAAAGACTCTAGTGTCTCCATTAATGCCAAACAAAATAAAGTTAGAATCGGTGAACGCAGGGAGCTAAGGCACCGCCGATGATACTTCCCTTGGACAGCGCCATTAAAAACGGCAATTAATGTCAGTACTGGCGCCTAAACATTTTTTTTTGTTTTGACAAGCAAGTCGCGGACGATTCTCACGATGTCCGCGACCATAAAATATAAATGTGACATGCGAAGTCCAGGAAAAGTGTTTGACGGACGCGTGCCGACAGTGCACGTACGCTCGTCTTAATCGGTGCACGCGCATTTTCCCATAAATTTAGGAAAGTCATAAACTAAGACGACACTCGTTGATACCAACCGACTTCTTTCCTCCCCCATAATCTCGACCAATCCAAAATCCTGAAAGTCATCCCACCATCCAAATTTGAACCCCACTAACTAGGAAAAACCGCTATATAAACCACGGTTTCGCGGTCCTGAGCGTCTTCTTTTTTGTCTCTTGCTCTCGTCCTTTTGCTCTTGTCTGTTCATCTTTTGGTTTTTTCTTTGCCGAGAGCTGTACAAGTTCTTAAAGTCGGTCGCCAGGATTAATCCAACCTATCTAATTCATTCAAAACCGATCAAGTTCGAGTCTCGAGCGCACTCCGTTTCTTATTTGTAAAAAGAAACAAAGTATTAGAGTCAGTGACTTGACGCCCCGAGGTCTCAACTACATAGCCGACCACGAAGTTTCCGAAGCCTCGTCACCAGACTCACCAGACTTCATCGACCAGTAAGTCAATACACCCTGTTTCTTTTCTTTTCTTTTTTTTATTGTTCTTTCTTTTCTTTTCCTCCTCACCGTATTTAAAGCCCGTAGTTATTCTCGGTTTTCGCGTTCAGTTTTCCTTTTTTTTCAGTTGTTCGGTAACTGAGTAATAATTTTTCGCTTACCTTCAAAATGATATTGCAGTGCGCTCTAACGGGTCCACCGCTTCTCCATCTCCACGCCGCAGCGTGATACGTTTCGTAAGGTCGCGCCAAACTGTTATCCGAACCAGGACTCGTACCGCTCAAGAACTTCGGCCCGCGGCCCAACCCTGTATTACTCACCCTCCGACGCCGAACGCTCCGACAGAGACACTCACGGTACCCTCTTTCCTCTCTTTGTTTTCTCCTCCACTAGAGGTTTCATATTCACCACCACCACCACCCTTACCTATCTCACCTGATGAGACTCTCGATCCACAGATCCCAGCTCCTCACTCTGACTTCGATCCCGAAATCCTCACCTTCACCGATCAAACTACCCTTCTCCCCTCCCAAACCTTTCATTACATCACATCCATAGAAGACCTTCATTTCTGGGTGACTGCTCCTCCCAACACCTACCAACCTGCCATCGTATATTTAGAAGGTTGCCCACATCCATTTACTATCCCGGCTGAAAATCTAACTCCCTTTTTTGAATATTCCCTTCCTCCCTAAATCTAAATTATCACATTCTCATTATTATTATTATATATCTCATTATTATTATATATACGCACACTCTCACACCTACACTATTATTATATATATATATATATGTATCTTTATATACACACCTATATATCTATCATGTATTAAAAATTCTAATTCTTAATTATATTTTATATTAATTAAACTCGTTTTGATTTATTTCGAGAAATATCTCCTCGTATTTTTAATCGGTTCGCGTTACGTTCACCCCCTCAGGTTCCATGCATGCGGAACCTCAGACGTAACAACAAATGCGCTAAAATATTTCGGCTCATTTTTTAACTTTCCTCAGAGCAAACACAAACTAACATGCATAAAGTAAAAGTTATCCTGTCATGGTGAGCTCCCTTACATTGAGATTTTAAATGCCAGAGTTTAACAAAAAGAAAGAAAAGGACAATGAAAAAGAAGGGAAATATTAAAAATGTCGAATTAAAGAGAATATAGAAACTAATTTATCAAAAAACTAAGAATATAATTAATTATCCCGAAAATAAGGACGCTCACCACGATTACAAAGCATCGTATCGCAAACATTACCATGAATAATTCAAGAACCAGTTTCTGATATGTTGGCCAGTCGGTATCAGACACAGTGAGTCACTTTTTAGTTATTATCTAGTATTAATGAAAATTGTAAAGTGATAAAAAATCTCGTCAGAAGGACTTGCTCTGAGGAAGGCTAAAAAATGAGCCGAAACATGTAAGCGCGTTTGTTGAATAAAGAAGTTTGAAGCTTCATAAGTGTATTATTTGCGCGACGTCTTCTGCGCCTGACTCCTAACGCCCGTATTCTTTCCAATAAGGGAAACATTGTAATTGATTGCATTAAAAGCATTGTGCATAGCACTGGCATAGCATCCGTAGATTCCCGATAGACAAAAAAATAGATGTCACGAACCACTCGATCCCGATTCTAAACAACATAGTATACTCGCATATTGTTACATCATCTGTGGACAAGAAATTATTAAAAATAGAAATGGAAACAAAAGAGTTTATGGACTCACATCTCAACATCATTCTAACGCATGCCAATAAAGTAACGTCACAGTCGTTCTTGATAAAGATACGTATGTCAAAAAAGTGAATGAAATGTTACAAGATAAAGAAACGTACGAAATAATCAAAAAAGACCCTATCAGTAAGCTTATAAAAACTCTTAGATCTTTACTTGCAAAATGGAAGGAATGTAATTATGTTGACAATTCTCAATACAGACAATTGTCATGCAATAATGGTTCGTTACCGAGAGTCTATGCACTGCCGAAGATACACAAACCAGATTGCCCATATAGAAACATTGTATTGTCAATTGATAGTCCACTGTACGAATTAGCCTCTTTTTTACATCGCATAATATTTGAAGCAATCCCTAAAGCTGAAAGTTATATAAAAAATAGTTTTCAACTTGTTGAGAGACTAAAAGATTTAAATTTGAAATCTAATTATAAACTAATTTCATTAGATGTCGTTCCGTTGTTTACGAACATTTCAATAGAAATAGTTATAGATTGCGTAAACGAAAACTGGAATTTTATTTAAAAAAACGTTTTATTCCGATGACAGAGTTTCTGACGGCAATTAAGTTTGTATTAGACTCTACGTATTTTTTATTTGATAACACCATTTATAAATAAAACTTCGGTACACCCATGGGCTCTAGGCTATCCTCTAGTCATTGCGGACTCGGCATTGCAGAAATTAGAGAGAACTGCCTTGATGTTATTTAATGATCATATATTGTTTTACTATCGGTATGTTGACGATTTATGTGCTCCTGTTCCTTCTTCGAAAATAGATCAATTTTTGGAGTGCTTTAATTCTTTTCATACTCGTCTTCAATTTCCGCTAGAAATAGTTCATGATTCACTTAACTTTTTAGATGTTACAATCACTACTATTGGTAATCAACTAAATTTTGATCAAAAACCGATCTTTTCGAGGAGACTTCTAAATTTTTTTTCAAATCATCTTCTCTCACAAAAAAGAGGAGTAATCATTAGTTTAGTAGATAGAGCTCTTCTACTCTCGAATTCAGAACATCATAATAAAAATTTAACAAAGATAATCGAAATATTATTACTTAATCATTGCCCTCTAAAATTCATTTTTGAAATAATAAATAACAGAATCAAAAGCATTCTAAGAAGGAGGACTGTATCGCGTACTGACTTCGAAGAAAAGGACGAATCATCAGTGTCCCCATCTTGGTTCACAGTTCCTTTTATTCCATCATTGACGGATAAATTTAGAAAATGTAATAGAGACGATATCAAGATTTCTTTCTATAGTACGAACAAATTAAAAAAATACATTAAAGTACATAAGGATCCTCGACATCATTTAAAAAAAAATAATGTTGTCTATAAGATCGATTGTGTTGATTGTGATGCAACATATGTAGGACAGACTGCTAGGAAACTGAAGATAAGAACTAACGAACACAAAAATCACATCCGGTAGAACACGTCCACTCGATCAGTGATAACTGAGCATAGGTTGCAGCTTGGACATAACTTTGATTGGGATAAAGTGACAATTTTAGATAAAGAATCTTGTTATAATAAGCGTTTAATCTCTGAAATGTTGAACATTAAAAAACAAAAAAACAGTTTAAACCTACAAAGAGATACAGAGGGTTTACACAAAGCTTACATACCGTTAATAAACAAAATCTGACTTTGGAATATCAAGATTATTTTATTATTCGTCAGTCTTTCTTGATGTTAACATATATGTTTACCAAGTGTCTTACTTTTCATATATTTCACACACTATTTGTTATCTTTATACATCTTTAATTTTATATTGTGACTAATTATTTTACTAGGGACTAACACACTGACGCTTAATAATTCAGTAATTGACGAACATCTTATCGACATGTGAAATTTTATTTTATGGCCAGCTAAGTGAGTTGTTTTGTCCAGAGTGACGATTTTACTCAATTTTTTTATTATTCTCGTAATTTATTTCTAACTCGATTGTTACCAGAACTCCGGATAATTTCAAACAACCGGTCATCCAGCCGTTGGCGAGTGATTTCCGTTTCTCAGCAAATTTATCACTGGCTATCATTACTTTTTATGTATAATTTTTTTATCTTTTCGACTCCTTTCGTCGAATGTAACATCTATTGTATGTATACCTGAAGAAGGCTCAATCATGAGACCGAAACATGTCATATTTTAATCGATTGTAGAATATTTTATTAATTTTTGATTTTTCATGTTTTAATATATTTTATTATATTTGACTCTTATGTGCCTTTTATTCTTCTCGTTATTGTAAATAACATTAATTGAGACAGCAAAAGGATATGTGTCAAATAAAAAATATAATAGGACAACCAAATTCATATTTAAAATAAACTTAGCAACGAACCACGATAGCATCGATTAAAAAACTTCATAGCTTGAAGACATAATATACGCAACCGATGGATATCGTTAGACATATTTTGTTAACGCGTCATATTTTCATAACGCGGGGTCGAGAATATAGAAGTCGTAGCAGTCACAGGGTCTTAAGTCGTAGAAAATTAACCAATCACAGTCGAATATAAGAAGAATAATCAATGATTGGTCAATTTTCTCTCTCTATGACTTAAAATCCTACTATTTCTATTGTAGACCCCGTATAATGCTGAAGGTGGAATGATTAATCATTCCTTATTGTTATGTTGCTGCCGTTTTGCCGACAGCATAACCTACCGCTATATATTGCTAACCGTTTGTTTTTAAAATTTCGTCAACTGATTGCCAGGATAAGCAATTATATTGCTACATTTGTAATGTGTACTATTTTTATGTCAGCAAATGTATGCCAAATATGTAAGACAATTCATACAATGCATCAGTTTGTTCAATATGTTAAATCACGTTTGATTATCTTCGCATTAATAAAAGATTCATCACACGCTAGATCATAATTATAGGATGGATTGGGATAATACTATTATTCTTGATTCCGAACAATCTTTTTATAAAAGATTGGTCTCAGAGATGATACATATCAAAAGACAAAAAATGGGTTTAAATAAGCAGAGATACAGAACGCTTTCCTGAAATCTACCTTACTATCCTTGGAAATATCCCCTCTACTCACCAATAGTTTTTTCCCCCTCTACTCTTCTTCCCTCTCCTTTCCTTACACAATTTTATAAAGATTGTCGCTTACTACGTTGTCATCACATTTTTGTCAAGAATAGTTCTTTCCAAATTGTGGCCAGAACTTGATTTAATTGTACACTATATCTGCGAATTTACTTTTTCGAGAACTCGTTTCACTAAATACGTACCTAGTAAGCGATTTCAACTACTAATCTAAACCGATTCTTCTTATTATTAATAGGTAACATTATATATAAAAATTTTTTGTTTTTTTTCGATTTTTAATTAGAATTTGAAAATTATGTATTTCACAACTCGTTACATAAGCGAATGTTAAATTTTGTCATTATCTATTCTGGACTATCGATTTATTGTCAAGTATTTTTTTATTTTTTGTAACGTTCTTTTATATATTTTACTGATGATCAAATATTGATCGAACGTTTACTTTTTCTTGTTATAATTTGAAATATATGACTTTCGCTAAAAACATCTATTGCCATGGCTGTATGCTCTTGATTGTTTATATTAATAAAAGATATTTTTGTCAAGTTAAATGTAAAGTTGTAAAAAACATTGATGATTTTAATGATATTTTGCTATAGATTACAGAAAAATGGCAAATGATCGTTTAGATATGGTAATATTTGGCGCCACTGGACATACTGGAAAATATGTAGTGAAAAATGCAACTCATATGTATAAGGATCAGAAAATGAAGTTCGGTATTGCTGGTCGTAGGAAAGAAGCTTTAGACGCAGTTGTTAAGGAATTTGCCTCAGATATTGGTACATTTAAAACCTAGAACTGATTATTCCAATTATAATGGTAAATCATTTTATTTATTATTAGCAAATGTTATCATATTACATGTATCTTATTAGTGGATGTGCCTGTTATTCTGGCTGATGTAAAAGATGAAGAATCTCTTAAGAAAATGACAGAGCGAGCAAAGATACTTGTCAATTGTTGTGGTCCATATAGATTTTATGGAGAATCCGTTATCAAAACATGCATTGCTACTCGTACTCATTATGTTGATGTCACTGCTGAAGAACAGGTAATTCAATGGTTATACAATAGTACAATGATCGATTGATGATTTCTCTCTGATATCTTCATTATTTTATTAGTTTATGATTGAAATGGAATTAAAATATAACGAAGCAGCAAAAGAAGCTGGCGTCTACATAGTAAGCGCTTGCGGCTTGGACTGTATTCCTAGTGAGTTGGGAGTTATTTTCACGCAACACAAATTTGAAGGAGAAATGAATGCTATTGAAATATACATGAGCGCATGGTTAAGCCCTACTGACAAGATAGGTCCGATTTGCAATTATGGAACTTGGGTAACTTTTGTACACAATCTGGCTCATGCAAAAGAACTACCTGCATTACGCAAAAAATTATATCCTATCAAGTTGCCTGAATTCGTACCGAAATTAAAATCAAGGTACACACGATTCTGTATCTTACATGTCTTGCGTATATTTATAAATCATTTTTTTCAACTAACAATAAGTCAAATATAAGTAAATTTTCTATGCGTATGAAATGTTTAGACAATATGCAAGTTAGTGCAATATTGATAAAAAGAAATAGTTATTGCAATAACGGTAAGCAATGTTAATAATTCAATTTATTTTGCAGAAGTATACTGCACCGAAGCGATGTTTCTGAAGGATGGTCCTTACCATTTCCGAGTATCGATCGTTCAGTAGCTCTTCGTACACAGCGATTCTTATATGAGAAGCATAAAGAGAGACCTGCGCAAGTTCAATTTTATGTTACATTGAAGTTAGTATGATAGGAATGAATATATTGACAAATAACTTTTGTTAAATATTCTGTACTTACTCTATTAGATCTTTCTTAAATTCTGTATTTACTATTTAGATATTTCTTCGAATTCCTGATGATGGCCACTATCGCTATGTTTATGTTCGTTTTGTCTCGCACAGCATGCGGTCGTAATTTACTTCTAAAAGTATGTGTGCAAGTACTTGCGCGATTGTCAAAATCATTTAAATAATATAAGATATTTACAGTACCCGACTCTGTTTTCACTTGGTATCGTAAGTTCGAATCTGGAAATGCTGAAACCAACATATTTTTCTGTTACGTTTAATGCTAGTGGATGGACTGAAAAATTGGCTGAACCTACCGATAAACACACAGATCCACCTAATAAAAAAGTAATCACTAGAATGTCTAGTGATTCTCCCGGATATGAGTTAACTAGCATCTCAATGATCTTATCGGCAATAACAATCCTTAACGAAATTGATAAAATGCCTGACAAGTTAGTAAATTATTAATTACTTATCAATGTAACACTTAATGTCTATTGAAGTCATTTTTGGAAAATTTAAAAATTATTCACTTATATCTTAAGATAATTAATTACAATTAAAAGACAATTAGTTACATGTTGAATTTTGATTTTTTATTTTTATGTATTAATATTTTTACAGCGGAGGAGTACTTACTCCCGGTGCTGCATTCGGTAAAACATCTCTAATCGAGAAATTGATAAAACATAATATTAAATTCGAGGTGATATCATCTACGGAAAAATAAAGATAAGAAACATTTTGACGCCGAAACATGTAATGTAATACAATATATAACGTTAAGTTTTTTAAATTTAATATATATTTTATATCAATTTATCAGAATGATAAAACTTTAAACATTTATTACACATAGCTATATTTAAACTTAACTCTAATTTGCCCTCGATATTCTTGATACTTTTGTTATTTAAAAGAGTCCTTTAATTTAATTGTTTAAAGATAAGAAAAATGTATTTAATTCTGTTATGTACTGTATTTTAATACATTTTATTTTTATGGTTGATTCTGATATTAACATTTGTTGTGGTTTCGAATAAACTTTTATTTTATACACTTATATTTCACAATATTTCAACAGGAAGGTATTTATAAGACACAATATATATGAATTTTATAGTTACTGAAGTTTAACAAA